GCCTTCCCCACCACAAACAATGATGAAACAGACAAAGGACAGGAAGTGACTGTCCAGGCATCGGGTCCAGGCATTCTCTCTTTGCAGGGAGATCTCTTCAGCGAGCCTCGTACGTGACCAGGGAAGAGGCGGCGCGGCCAGGAAGGTTGCATGAGCTCATCCTGGGGAGCTCCCGGGGTCACGGCCAGGAGCAGGGCTCTCCACACGCAGGCGCCACAGCCACTAGGTCAGGCAGGGAACAGGCTCAATGGGCACAAAGTCTGCGCAGAGATGCCCAGCAGACCCTCAGTGTTGAAAGAGTTCAGGCCACCAGACAGACGACACCTTGGCGAGCACTTCTCGCACTCTTCTGAGACCCTAGAGATTCCCCACCTAAGGAGAAGCAGCCATGGCAGAGAATATGGACTGTGACCACGCTGGATAGCCGTGTTGGGGTCACTGACACACAGAGAATGAGATGCCAGCCCATTGGGTCATAATAGAGCTGGGAAATTCCCACGGTCTAGTGACATCATAGCCAACCCAACATCACAGGCAACGCACCGCTCACATGCTCGCAGAGATGCTGGTGTAAACAAACGTACCATACCGCCACGCACAGTTATGTATACAACACAGTACTTGACGGTGATGCAAATGACTGTGTCACTGGTTTTTGTGTTCATGGTACTATACTTTTGGGAAGGAGGTACTGAGGATTGAAATCAAGGCCTTCACACTGAGCTACATCCCCATCCCCTTTTTAAAAGTATTTTTATTTTGCTACAGGGTAAATTGCCAAGATATCCAGGCTGGGATGGGGCTTGGGATCCTCCTGCCTCAGCCTCCTAGAGTGCTGGGATTACAGGTGTGCACCACCATGCCCAGCTTCTACTATGCTTTTTATTGTTTTTTTAGTGTTCTCTATCTATTCATTCTTAAAAGGTTTACCATAAACTGTGTGTGCAGCCTCACATACCTAACACTGGCTACCCTTGTGTCATTTTCTCCTGTGCTATACTACATGCGTTGTAAGTGTCACTCTGGTTTCACACAACCAGGAAATAGCCTGATGGCATGTTTCCCAGAATGTAACCTGTTGTTACATGACAGTTGATTGCGTATTCAAAGAACGAATCTGAAACAGACCCACCTTAAAAAGTCCTAACAGAGACCTTCACAAAATCAAGCTGCCTGTTGGACAGCACACCAAAGTTCCCAGCAGAGCAACAGAGGAGTAAGGAGCATGAAGACAGACAGAAGTAAGATTGCCTTTACAGACGACATGAATGTGTATGTATAGAAAACTCTAATGAATCTAAAAAGACAGTAGTTGGACTAAGCAAGAAATAGCAACATAGCAAGCTACAAGGTCAAATATACAAGAATCAATTCTGGTTTTACCTACTAATGACACACAGAAAATAAAACTGACAAAGCACCATTTATAACAGCATCAAAATATAGACAACATTTAGGGGGCTAGCTTGACCAGAAATAAAACAAAATGAATAGAAAGATACATGATATTCATTCACTGAAAGACTAAATATTGTTCGGATGTTAATTATCCCTCTTAAAAAACTGATCTATAGATTCATCAGAACCAATCAAAATCTGAATGCGATTTTCTCTGGAAATCGACAAGTTGATTCTAATATGTGTATGAAAATGCAAAGGACCTAGTTTGGCCAGAATAATCTTTAAAAAGAAGAGCAAGATTAAAGGACACAATCTGATTTCAACACATTAAAAATATACAATTGCTGCAGTGTGACATTGGCATACAGACAGCCCAAATAACAGTACAGTGGTACTATTTCTCCATAAACTCTCCATAAGGGTAAATTTCCCTGTTAGGGTTAACATTGAATCTAACCATTGCATTTGATTTGGTTCTCATCCATTCTGATTTGCAACCAGAATCATGAGAAAAAACCAAGTTCAGAAACTGAGGTACCGTTGTAATGATAGAATATAGAATCCAGAAACAGAGCCACACATATACAATCAATGGGCCTGTGACAAAAGCAAAACTCAAACCACTGGATAACTGTTTGGAATGAAATGAACCTCAACCCTTACCTCACACCGCACATAAACAATTAGAAATGAACTCCAGATTTAGTTACGAAAGCTAAAATTACAGAGCTGCTAGAAGAAACAGAAGCATGTCTTCACAATCTTGGCTTAGGTAAAAGTTTCCTTGACAGGACAGATGCAAAAGAATACTAACTATAAAAGTGCAATATGAATATGTTGATCTCATAAAACTAATACCTTTGCTTCTCACAAAGACACTACCAAGAAAAGGAAAGTGAAGGCCCCCAGTCAAGAGAAAATGTTAGCAATGCCTACATATTAGGAGAGACTTTTATCCAGAATGTATAGAATATCTACAAATTTATAAGATGAAAAACCAATCAAAAGTGGGCCGAAAATGGACCATAAATTTCATGAAAGATGATATGCAAATGGAAATGAGCATATGAAAATGCGTTCAACATCATTAGGCATCAGAGAAAGGCAAATTAAAACCACACAAAAAGTTCATCTCTCCATATCCAGTAAAATAGCTATTGTTCCAAAGACTGACAAGGCTACACGTTTGTGAGGAAGCAGAAATACAGAAACTCGCATCTCTCTTGTTCAAAGGGTAAGGTGGTTCAGCCACTTAGAAAACTGGCAATATCTTAGTCAGAGATACACCTAATTACTGGAGAGCAATAAAGACATATGCCCGCAATAACTCATACAGAAGGTTTACGGCATCTTCATTTACAACAGGCCACGACTGGAACAACTCCAACACCCATCAACACAAGAATAGCGAACACATCGTAGAGTACCCATTTCATGAAACATCGTATTTCATTTATAAATTTGAAAGGAATAAACTACTAATACACTTAATCAGCATCACCGATGAATTTCAGAAACTGTTTCGAGCAAAAAGTTGCAGACCTAGGATTCATACCACATGACTTATGAGGCAAGACTTTAGGGCGTGGTCCACCCCCTGGACACGTGGGCATGACCTGCCAATCATGGAAACCCAGAAAAATAGTCCCAAGCCCTGCACCTGGGACCAATCAAAAATTGCCGTCTTCAGTTCTTCTAGTGCGAGGTCAAGCAGGGTTTTGACAGGTCAGCCTAGATCTGACGTCAGAAGGGAGGATACAAAAGATGGCTATCGTCAGTCTCTGTGGCCCCTGAAAGTTCTTTCAGTAGTGGCCTGATCTCACCCTGGCGAACCTGTTTCTTTTCCTACCTGCAGTCGGCCCTTACTCTGCTGGTTATACTTCTTTTCCTGCCTTTAATACCTTTAGTAAATGTAAAACCTCGCTACCTTTCATGCTTGTCTCAACCAATTACTTAGGACAAGAACCTGGCATCTCTAGTAGGGTCCCAGGGTGCTTCAGGCCCAAGCAGCAACGCCATTTAGATGAAATTCAGAACAGCGACTCCCAGGGTGGTTATGCATTGACTGGATGGGACAGGAGGCTTCTGAAATGATGGAAATATTGTATATCTTGGCTGCTGTGTGGATTATGGGATGTGATAAGATCCGTGCACATCCCTCTGTGTGCATTTCACCTCAAAAAAAAAAAAAATGAGAAGCTGCGCGCAGTGGCACACACCTGTAATCTCAGCAGTCTGGGAGGCTGAGGCAGGAAGATTACAAGTTCGAGCCCTGCCTAGGCAACTTAGTCACCTAGAGAGACCCATTGCAAAATGAGAAAGAGAAAAAAATAAAGGCTGGGGATATAGCTTAATGTGAAGGCCCTGGGTTCAATCCCCAATACCACACACGCACACACACACGCACACGCACACGCACACGCACACGCACACACAAAAGTGGGAAAGAAAGGAAAACATGAGATGGTAAGGACAAAATATTCCAAAATTCCATAATCCTATTTTCCTTGGCTTGTAGCAAGCGCCCATGCACAGTGTGAATGTGTGTGCCGTACTCGCCGTGAGCCGGCCGGTGCTGCACAGAGCGTCCTTGTTGTAGTTTCATTTCAGTAGAGAGCTTCACATTTCATTTGGAACAAGGCCTCTCCTCTTCTTT